CCCTTGCCCACCTTCTCATACCGCCTACATCCCACCATGGTGAGTAGAGGGACCAGAGTGTTATCTCTGGCACCACACTAGGGATTATCAGGTAATAAAAGCTTTGACTCCCTGAGGAAATGTCTCTCCCTTTGTCTGGGGTGGGGCAGTCATACCAGGGCTGGGGTTCTCCTGGGCCACTCCCGTCCCTGCCGTTACTGTTCTGTCTTAGCTGGCTGCAGAGAGGGCACAGTCTCCCTAGCTCCTTTCCAACAAACACAGCCCCTCTAGCCCTTAGGTAGTTATCAGGACTCTTCTTTCACTCCCAGCATATCTTTGGTGCAGTGGTCCTAGCCAGCCTTGCTCCCTGGGGAAGATGGCCAGGGTCCTCACTGCTTCCCTAAGTACAGAGGCATGGAGGAGAGAGGGGTGGCTTGGCTTTCGGGTTTGAGTCAGTTTGACCTCTCCAGTCCTTGGTGCTTTGCTGCAGAACTATCTGGATCATGTCGCTCTGTCCAGAGCAAGTGTTTATATCTACATTTATTGTGTTAAACCGCTTCCGTTTCCTTTCATATCTGTCCTCATTTCAAGGACTTTTATGTGGAAGTGCCTCAGATCCAGAGGCCAGGATGGTGGGAGTCTTAGATCCCAACTCGAATTTGAGCCTAACATGTTAGACAAAGTGTCTTAAATAAGGTGGATGTTCATTTATTTTTCATGTTAACAGTCTGCCCAGTCCAGAGACCCAGTATCCTCCATCTCATGGTCCCAGTGTCCCTTAGGATGTTGTTCTCATCCTCATGGTTGAAGTCGCTGTCTTTTCCCATGGAGAAGCAAAAAGAGCATGGGCAAACAAATTCATTTTTAAAGACATGAAGCAAAAGTTGCACTTTTCACTTCCACTCATACCCCATTAGCTAAAACCTAGTCATAAGACCACACTGAGCTACAAAGGGTGCTGGGAAATGTGGTCTTTAGTTGAGGGCACAGCTGGGAGGGTGTGTCTGTTCATGGCCTCCTTTCTTCATGATCAGCCCAACACAGGAACAGGAGAGGAAACCGGTTGCCATGACTGTCAGTTCAGGGCTGAGAGAACCTTGCAGCCCTCAGGGCCTTTCTTAAGGATCAGGGGCCAGGGGCACCTCGGGGCTGTCAGGAGTGAGAGGTGGCACCCCCGTCTGGCCCATGGAGGAATGCACAGAGATCACCACTGCCGTGCTTGCTGGAGGAGGTAGGACTTGAACTGGACCTGCAGGATATTGGAAGTTTAGATGAGCGAAAGGAGGAAAGATCAGCGGAGCAGCATTACAGAGGGCCTCAGATTCCAGGCAAGCAAAGACACAGTGGCTCCAAGATAGAAGCCAAGTTCTGCACCACATATTCAGGGTGTATGCACGAAGCCCAGGTGCCACGACAGACCACCTTCTGGAAGGTTGCAAGGGGTGAAGTCGTGTAAGTCAGTAGGTGTACTGTGGTCCTTCTGTAGGAACCAAGGAACTGTAAGGGGCGATAAACTCAAAAAGTCAGTAGGTTTAAAAGAAGCATGGATAAATCAAGCAAAGACAGAATCTAAAGAATTTCGGGTGAGGGCTGCCATGCTTGGGAAGGAAACCCTGTCTCTTTGCAAGCTACCTATTGGCGCCTCTGTGTAACCATGTCCAGGCAGATGGAGGAGGGCAAGCCTTGGGTCAGCAAGCCGTGCAACGAACATATCCCCTGGTTGCTAAACAGACATCTTCAAGCAGGAATTAGCCCAGCTCTTTGCTCCCTTCTCTCCCTCAGCTTATAGGTATGGCTCATCACTCCCTCTTCACCTCTTTCTTTTCCTGTATTATTCAGAGCTCACATGGTGTCAGGAGACATAGGCTCAAAGGGAAGTGTATTGACGCTCACGTGGCACAATTGTGTGGGAAGGGCAGAGGAGATTGCTGCATCTAGTGCCCACTCGCCAGTCAGCTGTGACTGTGCCCACTGCACACCCAAACTTCTGGGGCCTGCCACACTTGCAGAGACCTCACTTCATCAAATGGTCTCTGTCCTGGGTTTTCCTTCATCCTCTACCCCCACCTGCCCAATATGCTCATCTTTCATTTAAAAGAAGAAAAAAAAAGCACTTCCCCCATGCCTAAGTTCTTCCATTCCCACATATTCCTTCCTTACCCTTTCATCCTCAGTGCTGAGCCCGAGGGATCCACTGTCTCCCTGTCCACTGGCACCCCCTTGGTGTAATGACTGCCTTCTGACTTTTATCCTCCCTCTGTAGCTTTTCCTCCACAGCCCCCTTCCTCAGAGGTCAGGCATTCCTGCAGTCTGTGTGGTGTGGACCCTCAGCCCTTCTCCAGCCCTGAGCTCCTGGTCCACACACCCCACTTCCTACTGTGACTACACAGAGTGGCCCAGAGGCACCAGTCTCAGGCTCTGCACACCCAGCAGTTTGCCCAGTCTCCAAAGCCCACTGCCCTTTCGTGCAGCCTCCAGCATTCTCTGCCCCCACCCACCCCGTCCCAGCCCTACTCCCACTGAGCACCAAACCCACAGGCCTGCCGCCCCGCCACAGATCCCCCTGTAGTTCCTGTGTTAGCTCTTCTCCATTTTGTCTCTTACCCTAGAGCACCCACTGCAGCCCTATTGCCGAGACTAGCTAACTCTCCATCCCTCACCCAGATCACCTGCTCGGGGGTGTGCCCCTCTGTGCTCCTACAGCACCTGAGCATTCAACTCAAAACCTCTGCTTTCCCAACTGATTACAGCAGCCCCCAGACTGGAATAATGGGGCCTCAGGGCTGAGTGTGAGCTAGAGCTCAGTGGCGAACAAATGGCTTTCTGTGTCCTGCTGACCCCGAGCGCCGCGCCCTGCTGCCCTCCAGTAAAGGTGTGGATGAATTCTAGAGTTTATAATCTGGAAGGGGAAAGCAAATATTCCTAAAAGGCGAACTATGTGGTCAGAAAGAAAGGGAAGCTTTCCCCTGGGAAGCTTGTTCTTGTTTGGAATTTTCAGGAAAAACCACAATCAAATTACAGAAAAAATAAAGGCACCCCATTCCTTTTTTAAAATAAACACCAGGGCCTTTGAATAAAACATTCTGTAAACCCAAACCAGAACTAAGCTAGTTTACTGAACTCAAAGAATTGTTTTCACTAAACCACAAAGCAAATGTTTTCCTAAAATTTACTTGGTTAACCAGTACATAAAGGGACAAAACCTGTTTCCCCAAACAGTTTAACTGATCATACAGTCCAAATATTCATTTCAGGTAAGTCAGTTTGGAAATTCACCTATGCCCTTCTGCCTGGGCAGCTGAAGTCGAGGTGCCCATGATGTCATCTCCCCCATCTCTGCCACAGAATTTGACACACCTGCTCTCCCAGTGACCAGACACTGCGATGCCCAGCCTGACCCTGCCCTTGCACTTGCTGTTCAAATTGCTGTCCAAAAGCGGAGATTGGCTAACCCTATAAATTGGCCACTGCCCCCCAGAGGCTGGTGGCTGGCAGCAGAAAGCTGAGCTGATGCAGACTAAGGCGGGAGCCTTTTCTGGCATTCCAGGGGCTGTGCCCAAATCCATGAATGGTCCTGGGCCAAGTACAGGATGAGGAGAGGTTGGAACCTTGAGGGACAAAATTATTCCTACCACCTTTGGATAGGCCCACAAAGGCTGCACTGCCCCCTTAACTGGGCCCCCTGTCAGGGACCTGCTTGGAGGAGAGAGAGGCCACCTGTGGGGTAGCTATGCCCCACCCAAACCTACTTCCACATGGAGTGACCCAGTCCTGGTGCCCAGGTGTGTGGTTAAGGACATCCCACCCAACCCATTTTACAAGTGGGCAAACAAGCCCTCAGGAAGAGTGGTCATAGCTCTCCCCAGGCTTCTTAACAGGCTGCTGGACTCCTCACTCTTAGGCCCCCACTTTTCTACCAGGGAAAGCCCTGAGCTGGGTGGGACTCAGGGAGACCCCAGGCATTGCCTCTCTTAGGGCCATAATTTGCTGTGTCAGAGAGGGCTGTGAGGGCTTTCTAGACCTAAGGGCAGGAGCTTGAGAATGCAGCTAGGGAAGTGGCTAGATGAGACTTCAGGGGTATAGGCCAGGCTGAAGCAGGAGTCCTGTGACTTCAGATCCCTGGGAAGGTGGAAGGAGGAGGCATCTGTCTGGTGACCCCAGCGCCAGCAGCTGAACATACACTGGGAAGGGAAGAGAGTTGGTGGCGAGCTGCCACCCGTCCCCTCTTTGAGACGTCATTGGAGTCTGTGGGCCCAGAGCAGTGGGTGGAACTACCTGAGCAATAAATCTTGGGTCTGGCTGCCTGGGTTCCACTGCTGCCTGGAGGAGCCACTTCATCCACAGCTCTCCCTCAGTGAGTGAAAAGGCTGCCCTCCCCAGGGCTGGGGCTCCGGGATGGAGCTCTATTCTGGGTCACTGCTCCTCTTCCCCCTCCCAAGTCCCTCTACCCCTGACCCATGCCCAGAAAAGCCCCCTTTCCCTCATCTCTCCCCAACAACACTATTCCTGTGCCTGCTGCCCCTAGCGTGGGAGGGACAAGGGGTAGAAACCCTTGCCCCTGTAACCACCACACATTCCCAACTGCCATGGAAGAGAGATAGCAACCCACAGGGAAAAGGAGCTGAGGGCCTGCCAATAACGTCCCCCAGCACTGGGTGCCCCAGATTCCCCCACACTGCTGCCTGTCTCTTGAACAACTCCCCTGTTCCCCTCTCCAACCTTCTCTCACTTGTGGGATCCCTGGGGCAAGAAAGGGTAGTCCTGCCCTACTGGGGAAGGCCCTCAACTGGCAAAGCGGGGAGCCTCTGTGCCCCAGGGGTTCTGAGAGGTGGCTAGTTGCCAGGAGCCCTCAGGGTCCAGACCCCCGTAGTCCTGGTATAAGGAGCAATAGCAGAAGAGAGAAGAACATTAGGAGACACTGAAGCTGCCCCTGAAACGCCAGTTGTCCAAGGGGACCCCGGAGGAAGAGGAAGGGGGTATGGATGGGAGCACTCCCTGAGTGCTGTCCACTGTCCATGGAAGCAGCCCTGCCATGGCCAGCTTTGGGCTAGGCCTCCTGGTGCTAATGCTGACCACCCACCCTGAGCCCTCGAAGGCTCAGCACTGCTCCCACAGCTGGCACCCTGAAGGAAAGCAAGCCTCCAGCTCACTCCATGACCCCCAACATACTCCTGGGCCCTCAGGTGAGTTGAAGGGTCTCCCCAGCCTAAGTGAGAAGAAGGTGCTGGCTGGGGCTCTTTCATCTACCTCAAGCCTTTGGGTGGAGGTGGGGAGGGCAGGCTGCAGCCTCAGTTCCCTTCTAAGGAAGGGTTCTGGGCACTGCAGCTCACAGCCCAGGCCAAATTGTCCCCAACCTCCCAAGCGATGTTCTGGCTCCCCCTGAGGACAGTGTGCCCTGGGAGAGTAGGACCATGGCCTGGTGGCTTCTCCACAGGAAGCAGCACCTGGTGCAGACACTGCTGGTAAGTAAGCTAAGAACTGGCTGGGGGTGAGGGGGAATGATACACCACTGAGTTATTTATTTTTGGCTGCCTTGGGTCTTTTTTGCTGTGTGCGGGATTTCTCTAGTTGCGGCGAGGGGGGGGGCTACTCTTCGTTGCTGTGCGCAGGCTTCTCATTGTGGTGGCTTCTCGTTGCGGAGCACGGGCTCTAGGCACACGGGCTTCAGTAGTTGTGGCACATGGGCTCAGTAGTTGTGGCTCACGGGCTCTAGAGCGCAGGCTCAGTAGTTGTGGCTCGCGGGCTTAGCTGCTTCTCAGCATGTGGGATCTTCCCAGACCAGGGCTCGAACCCGTGTCCCCTGCACTGGCAAGCAGATTCTTAACCACTGCACCACCAGGAAAGCCCCAATCCTAGACAATTTATGATGAAATACTATGTTAGATTAAAGTAAAAGATTAGAAGTCACTAGTGGAGTAGAAGGAGGTACTACAAACCTCCATAAATAGGACAGTGGCGGCTATGAAGTCCCCTAGGCTTCTAGACAGCCAAGGGAAGCCAGTGTGGCTCAAGGTGGGCAGGCCCACAGCCAGTGGAAAGAGGTGAGGGTTGCGACCTCACACTCTACAGTACGGCCCCGATAACCAGGTGGTCATTGATACGTGCACTGGGAATGACTCAGTGATTGCAGAGCTCCCCAAGGCCAATAGCGGAAGACAGGTGTAGGGAGATGGTTTATTATTTTGCAAATTGTAGTTTAAAGTGCACCACGGGAGCACGATAACTAAAGGAGAAAGCGTAAATTCCTATAAGGCAAGACCTTATCGCCTAATTTCAGTCGGTGTGAGCTCGGGTTTTTAGATATCAGGTGGGCAACGCCCGTTAAGCCCAATGAGCTAGAGAACCCACAGGCTGGGTCTTCTAGGAGGCTAGGGGGCGTCCGCAGGACGTAGGAGCCACAATACCGGCCGTCGGCCAATCCTGCGCAGCGAGGCCAAGCCGGGAGGCGAGGGAAGAGGAGGGGAGGAGAGGAGGGGGCGGGTAAGGCCGCAGCTCTGCGGTCAGGTGACCAGAGCGTCCGGGGGAATGATCGCGCCCTCCTCCCGCAGACCAGACCCCGAGCGCCGCGCCCCGCTGCCCTCCAGTAAAGGTGTGAGGTCCCTGAAGTTGTTGCATCCTTTGTCCCCTCTCTCTCCATTGAGACCCTTCCCCGGGTGGGGGCTGGAGGGATGCAGGTCGGAACCCGGTCCCCCAGGAGGGACACAGCCAGGTTCCGGGGGACGGGGCGGACGCAAATGTCAGCGGGCAACAGAGGTGGGGGCGGAGCCCGCGGACTACGCGTCCCGTGGTGCCCCGCGGCCACTTCCGGGCCCCAGTGATGCCCTGCGGCGCGCCGGACGCTAGGTGGTCTGGCCATGTTTCGCGCGCTGAGCGCCCTGGGCGCGCGGCCCATGGGCCTGCCCCCAGCCCCGTTTCTGCTCCCCGTGCGCTGCCGCAAGACGCGCCACGACCCGCCGGCCAAGTCCAAGGTTGGGCGCGTGGCGACCCCACCCGCTGTGGATCCTGCGGAATTCTTCGTGCTGACGGAGCGTTACCGGCAGTACCGCCAGACGGTGCGCGCCCTCAGGTGTGTGTGACGGAGGGGGAAGCGGTGCCGTCCGGCGTGTGTGTTAGGGCGGGCGGGCGAAGAGAGTGCCAACCTTGGGCGCGTCTCCGTCCAGGCTGGAGTTCGTGTCCGAGGTGCGCAAGAAGGTGCACGAGGCCCGGACCGGGGTCTTGGCAGAGCGCAAGGCACTGGAGGACGCCGCTGAGCACCGCGAGCTGATGGCCTGGAACCAGGCGGAGAACCAGCGGCTGCGCGAGCTGCGGTGAGTGGGGCGGGAGGCGGGGCGGGGACGCCTTGCCGGCCCGGAGACACCCAGCCACGCTCAACCTCGGCCTCTCACTCCTCCCAGGATGGCCAGGCTGCGGCAGGAGGCGCGGGAGCAGGAGCGGCGGCAGGCGGAGGAGGAGGCCCGGCAGGCCCGCGAGGCGCAGGCTTGGGTGCAGCTCAAGGAGCGTGAAGTGCTGCAGCTGCAGGTGGGCCGTGTCTCCAGAGGATGGGGCTGCAGGCCGCGAACTCCGCCGGTGCCGCGAGTCCTGCGCGCAGCCAGGTGGGGGAGGTGGGGCCACGGCTACATGCAGAGTTGGAAGAGAGTAGCCTTGAGTCTTGACGCGGGGTTAGCAGGTGAGGATTTGGAAGAGGAGGCGTGCAGGGAGAGTGCCTGTCAGGCGCGAAGACCCGGAGGTGAGAGTTGACAATGCAGTAGTGTTCACGTGGCTAGCCACTTGGCTAGCCACTGCCTGTGAGACTGGCCCCCACGTTCCCCAAGGAGTTTATATTTTGCCGTGAGGGTGGGAAAGTCACCGAAGGGTTTAAACATTTTGGCCTGGGATGCCAGGTGTGAGACTTAAAAGCAGGGAGACCAGTTAGAAGTGATCCAGCGAGAACGGATGAGGCTTGAGTTAAAGTAATAGAGGGAGGACAGTTTGAGAGAGATTGAGAGATCTAGGCAATATTGAGAGACTGATTCCACCCAGTGAATTGTCACAGTTGGTGTGTCTGGGTTTTGGCCGAAATGTCCAGGGGATGATTGTCTAAGAGAACTGAATGTGGCAAAGCTGCCTGATATTCTTCCACTGGAAGGTCAGTGGGGTGCTCAGAGAAGACCTGGGCTGCAGACATCTTTCCCACAGGAGAGCTGGAGCCCCTCCCTCAGTGGGCTAAAGGCTAGCAGGCATGTTCTGAGGGCTTCCATTCAGTTGGCCTTCTCTCTTCCAATAGGAGGAGGCAAAAAACTTCATTACCCGAGAGAACCTGGAGGCGCGGGTGGAAGAAGCGTTGGACTCCCCCAAGAGCTACAATTGGGCCATCACCAGAGATGGGCTGGTGGTCAGGCCACAGCACAAGGGCTCCTGAGGGCCCAGTAAGGACAGTGTCCACCCAGGGACCGTGGGGGTAGGGGGGTTGGGCCTGATCTGGAATAAAGCAGTTGTTTCTTATGAAGGAGGAGGCTCTACCTATTCCAATGCAGCCTTCACTTTTGGGCCTCAGCACCCACCACTTGGTCAGAAACTCCACACACAGTGCCCTGTTCTGCACCCATGTACAACTCTTAGCAAAGCACCAGACCTTAGAAGTTTCCATCTCACAGAGGAGCATAGTCCCCTCGGCAGCCAGGTCATCTCCTGAGTATCCTCAAGGTCCAGTGGTTGGCATATTGCAGTCCTTGGGCCAAATCTGGCCTATTGCTTCTTTTTGTAAATAAAGTGTATTGGAACACAGCCACAGTTATTCATTGACTGCTCTCATACTACAATGGCAGAGATGAGCAGGTGCAACAGAGACCTTATGACTTGCAAAGTCTAAAATATTGTTATATGCCTTTTTAAATTGAAATATAGTTGATTTACAATGTTTTGTTTCAGGTGTACGGAAGAGTGATTGAGTTATACATCTATTCTTTTTTAGATTCCGTTATAAGTTATTACAAGATAATATAGTTCCCTGTGCTGTACACTAGGTCCTTGCTGGTTATCTGTTTTATATATAGTAATGTGTATATTTTAATCCTAAACTCCTAATTTAGCTGCCCCACCCCAATTATATGACTTTTTTGGGGGGGCACACCATGTGGCATGCAGAGCTTCCCCTACCAGGGATCAGACCTGTGCCTCCTGCAGTGGAAGAGCAGAGTCTTAACCACTGGACCACCAGGGAAGTCCTATATGACTTTTTACAGAAAAAGTTTGTTGACCCCTGATCTAGGGCTTTCAGGCTCCAGCAAGGAGCAGGTATCACCCAGTAACTGAGCCACAAAGTAGCCATTGGCCAAAGATATGCTTCTGCTTGACCCTGAGTTTTGCTGGCCAGGGTCTGGTGTGCCCAAGACACAGAAGGCAAGAAGACCCCATTTCTTCTGGCGGCCCTCTCCACCCTTGGCCTCAATGACCCACATTTACCCTGGCAGTGCAGCTTCCTTAGACCACACACCAGACTGGTGCTGGCAGAGGCTTGATTGACCTTTATAAGGTCAGTGTGGCTTGTCAAGCACTTGGAGCAAATCAGAAATACTTGTGATTAAAGTTCACAAGCTTAGGGACTTGCCTGGTGGTCCAGTGGGTAAGACTCCGTGCTCCCAATGGAGGGGGCCCGGGTTCAGTCACTGGTTGGGAATCTGTATCCTGCATGCATGCCGCAGCTACGAGTCCACATGCCACAACTAAAAGATCCCGCAGGCCTCAACTAAGACCCGGCGCAGCCTAAATAAATAAATATTAAAATAAAGTTCACGAGGTTGAATAAGTGAGCATACAAATCCACAGCCCCTGCTCAGGTGCAGGCCCTCCAAGAGCATCCAGGGTGAGAAAGAGACATGTTTCTCTGAGCCAGAGCTTATGTCCCTTTGCCACCATTCACTGAACTTTGCCTAGATACCAGCAGAGGAAAAAACAAAACAGAATCCTTGCTTCTTTCCCTAATTCCCATGTTGTAGGTAGGACCTGAGACCCTCAAGAAATGAAAACCTTTTAGGGAATATGGACAATCCCTCATGTTCAGGTAGGGAAGCAGGTAATAGAGATGCAAGCAAAGGGCCATGATTATCATAGTGGCTAGGACACAGTCCCCATCAGGGTATCGCATCCCTGAGGGCAGTGGCCTCCCTCCTCAGGCTAGTAATAGCTCTTCTCTTCCCTGGCACTGAGCCCAAGCACAGTGGGGTCCTGGATTTCAGGTGCTCAGCGTAATTTCTAGGGTGAGAGGATAGGCACACATTGTGGGCCATGGTTTATGCCCACAGCCTTGGGCTTTGTTATGGTGAGAAGTGGGCCATCTGGTCCCCTGCAGAGGAAGCCTTTGGTGAGCTTTCACATGGGACATTGAGCCTGTTTGGGGAAGTCCCTGCTCATCTATCAGGATCCAGACAAGCCATCTGTCTTCAGGTACAGGAGACAGTGTCATACCTTCTTGAAACTCTGTCTTTGGGCTGTTTTTCCTTCACTGGTGTCCTGCATGGGACTATAATTCCTTAGCATTCACTGCTGATGGCAGCAGGTCATGCAGAGCTACCTGTAAACCAAGCTTGAACATTTTTGTTCTCCACCCACAGCCATCTTACTGGTTTTGGCACAAATAGGCAGTTTAGTAACTTCAGGTTTAATTCAAGCCTAATGCCATCTGTACCTGCATTTAATGGATTGTAAGGTGCTGCTAGGTGCACAGGTAAGCTGTCAGATCATACCCAGTCCAGGTTGCAGAGTTATGTGGTGTCCCATGGAAGAATGCTTAATCTCCAGTAGAACCCTAGTAGTTAACCTGATGGGCAGTCTTGCTCAGAAACACCAGGATCTCTTCTGATTCTTACCTCAAGTTCCAAATACGGTTTGGATCTGCTACAGACAACGTGAGCTTGTACCTCCTAGAGAGAATCTTCTCTTGCTCAAGGCCCCACTTAGTAGTAGATTTGAGGGCTACCCAATAAATGCATTTGGAGCACAATACCCAAATGTAAATGCTTTCACCAAAATTTGAAGAGGCCTACTGTGCTTTGTGCACAATAGGATAGAGAGGATAGGGGACAAGTAGAATTTGTGTTTCACTTGTTGGGAGAGGTATGCTGACCCCCAAAAACTTGGTTGAGTGAGCACTTTTTTCCCAGGATTTATGTCCCCAATCAAGCATAGGTGTTTTGGGAAGTTCCGTGGTGGTCCAGTGGTTAGGACTTGGTGCTTTCACTGCTGTGGCACGGGTTCAATCCCTGGTCAGGCAACTAAGATCCCGCAAGCACCTGCAAGCCTCGCGGTATGGCCAGAAAAAAAAAGCATAGGTATTTTACCAAAACACGCAGGATTCTTGCCGCTTCCAATTCTCTAGGAAAAGCAGCATGATGTCAGCAAAGTGGACCACCATTATGTCCTTGGGGTGGGTGGTCAGGGTCTTGAGGATTAGGTTGTGCAGAGTTATTCACTTCTCAGGCTGGGTTGTGGTGATACACTGCTGCCAGGGCAAGGCATACTGCTAGTAGTAGTCCAAGTGGACAGAAAAGAATGTATTTGCCACGTGAATGGGCGCCGGGTGCCTCCTCAGTCTGTTCCGTCAAGGAGACCACCTAGACCTCAGTAAGCCCAAACTCATTCCCCGTATTTTTGCAGTACACTCCAAATTTTCTGTGTGTATACAATGTTCCCTGAAATCTTTGGGAATTTTCCCCCTGAACTTACCCTGTGTTTATTTTCCTGACACAAGTACAGAAGTGAAATTGATACCTAGGAAACAAGCCTAGTTAACTGCTAAAATGAGGGCAATTCTGAATTCTGGCAGGAAGAGTCAAGCTTGGAACTCTTTTTCCTTCCCAAATAGGAAATCAGAAGCGATATTTGCAATCCCAAATCCTGAGACAAACAGGCATTTCTCCCGAGGGGTGCTCCAATGACTATTTCCTCAATGCAGGTAAATGCATAAGCCATGAATGTGAACATCCATGTCTGGGTAAATTCATAGGGCAGTTTACAAAGCCTTGAGATCAAGAACCTGTAAGGAAGAACACCATACTGCCATGGGGCCCGATAAAGTGACATAAAGAAAGGCAGAGCTGCATAAGCCCCACCCTCACCAGTACTCTACAGTGGCTCTGTGGGTCACTGATATCTAATAATCTTCCACCATTCTTTGGGCATTTTCCCTCGCTGAGGGAAGTGTTATATTCACAGTCTTTTTTAATGCTGGCTCATGGCGGGAGAAAATGGTCTGAGAGTGGGACTTTGTGTCTGGGAAACCCATAACTCAGGTATAAACGTCAACCATGACTATTGCACCTTTGCCTGTCACTGCCAGAGCCAAGCCCGCAAGTGCTGGTGCTGGCTGACCCGTTGCTGCTGCTGGAACTGCAGTGCCTGTGCAGGAAAGAACCCAGGAGCCACACTTAACCACCGCCACTGCTGCTGCAGCTGCCAGAAGTACCAGAAGCTGAGGGGAAATGTGGATTTGCCCTTCCTCTGGCTTTAAAAACAAATCTTTTGTCAGTGACTCCTATGTTACTGTCATAATGGAAGCCAGCTGGCAAGGAAGGCTGGGAAATGTGTGCAGGCCTCCAGCCTCCTGTGGAACTGAGAGCTATGGATGAATAACCGGTACAAACCAATTTTTTTAGAAGCACTGTTTCTCACAACTTACAGTATTTAGAATGGGATAGGCAGAATTGTTTTGTGGGGACTTCTTTAAAATAAGGCGAAATGAAATTTGAGACAGTCTTATATTTTGGCAATCAGGGATTCACACTTTCTGAAATTCTGCAAAAATTATCAATAGCAACAAACAGCATATCACTAGCTTGTTTTTTAATCTGAAAAATGATACTTTCAAATATAATTTTGTCTAAAAACATAGTTTAATTCTAACTTTTAATAATAGACAAATTTAATTTGTCAAGAAGAGTTTCATGTAAAATATCTCCAAATTATTGTTTGGCAAAGGTCATTAAAATACATATTTTTGAAAACAGCAGTTTGTAAGCAGCTGTTCTATATACATCTCTTTTATCATCATTTATCAGGATTGTCACTTCTTTGTGTGAGACACATGGTTTTTTCCCTCGAATATTTTATTGCTGCCTGTGACATTCAGCACTTCGGAAATTTTTTTAAATGACAAATTTCCCAGACAACATATGGACTGGAAGAAAATATTTGCAAACGATGTGACCAACAAAGGCTTAATTTCCAAAATATACAAACAGCTCATACAACTCAATATCAAAAAAAAAGACAACCCCACCAAAAAATGGGCAGAAAACTTAAGTATACATTTCTCCAAAGAAGACATACAGAAGACCAACAGGCACATGAAAAGATGCTCAGCATTGCTAATTATTAGAGAAATGTAAATCAAAACTACAATGAGGGATCACCTCATATGGTCAGAATGGCCATCATCAAAAAGTCTACAAATAAATCACTCGGCCCATAGTAGTCCTTCAATAAATCATCATTCCCCCACATTAAAAAAAAAACAAGTCTACAAACAATAAATGCTGGAGAGCGTGTGGAGAAAAGGGAATCCTCCTACGCTGTTGGTGGGAATGTAAATTGGTGCAGCCACTATGGAGAACAGTATGGAGATTCCTTAAAAAACTAAAAATAGAGTTGCCGTGTGATCCAGCAATCCCACTCCTGGGCGTATATCTGCAAAAGACGAGAACTCTAATGAGAAAAGATACATGCACCCCAATGTTCATAGCAGCACTATTTACGATCTCCAAGACACGGAAGCGATCTAAGTGTCCATCAACAGATGAGTGGATAAAGAAGATGTGGTGTAGATACACAATGGGCTATTACTCAGCCATAAAAAAGAATGAAATAATGCCATTTGCAGCAATATGGATGTACCTACAGATTATCATTCTAGGTGAAGTAAATCAGACAAAGACAAATA